CTCCTCCTCCCCTCCTCTTGTTCCTCCTCCTTCTCCTCCTCCTCCTCCTCCTCCTCCTCCTCCTCCTCCTATCCCTCCTCCTCCTCTTCCTCATCCTCCTCCCCCTCGATGCCGCTCGTGCCGGGAGATGCTGTGGATGCATCCGCGGAAGTCATGGGGACGCCTTCGACCAGGGACACCTCGAGCAGCACCCGATCGGTCCGTGGCTCATCTCTCGTGGCTGCAAGGGGGAGGGGGGGGGCACTGCGAGATCTGCTGCGCGCAGCTGGCCTCGGCCCCGCGGCTGGGCGCTTTCCCCGCGGAGTGGGGGCCTCCGGCGCCGGGGCAGCCAGCTGCGCGAGTTGATTCGCTACCCCATCCAGGAGCAAAGGAGTCCTTTGGTATCCCCCCCTTTTATCCGACGCGCCTTTCCTTTCGGGCACTGAGGATGGCACGTTTCTGTTGTGTTCCAAGAGCTCCTGGGTGCCCGCGGCATACACGATTGCTTTTGTTGAGGGGAGGGAGGGAGGGAGGGAAGGATGGAGGGAGGTACGGAGGGAGGAGGGAAACGGGAAGGCCATTCTCGCAAGGAGGGAGGGGGAAAGGGAAAAGGGTGGGAGGGGTGGGGGGGGGGCAAGAGGGCAGGAAGGACGGAGGAAGGAGCGCTTCTCTTGGCGAGTGAGCAGCGAGGCCAGCTGCCGAGCAACACCCTATCAGATAATGTTTCCTTCAGCCGCGGCAGCCCCGGTTACAGTAAAAGAAAAAGCGCAGGGGGTTCAGGTGCCTCTCCGTGACGACTTGGCAACGCTGCTTCGCAGCACGGGGCTTATCATTGCCTTGGCTGGTGTAACCTCGTCCTCCGTCCTCCTCTTCCCTGCCCACTCTCCACCGTCCCTCTCGCCCATGCCTCGAGGGACACCTGACTGCATGAGCACAGACAGTTGGAGGTCAGCGAGGAGCTCTTGGGTCGGCCCGGAGGTCCCCCCGGCAGCGCCTCCGTCCCGCCGGCGCCATACCTGGCGCCCCTCACACGACGGGGAGAGGAGGTGTTTGGGGGGTAGCACCGGCCCGAGAAATCCTCGCGGACTTCCGAAGAATCGGGTGTTGCTAGAAGTGCCCCTGGCCCAAGGCGCCACCAGGACTGCCAAGGAAACCCCCACGGCCTCCAGAGCACCCCTCGCGAGGCCCAGAGGGCCCCAGGGGCTCGAAAGTGAAGCGAAAAGTTGGGGGCACCTTGGGCCAGGGGGCACCTCTGGCAACCCCCGAAACATGTGATACGTCTATGCCGCTTCCTATTCATCTAGTGACCCCCCCCCATCCCCCTCCCTCGTCCCATCCTCATCCTCCTTCTCCTCCTTTTCCTCCTCCTCCTCCCCGTCCTTTCCTCCTCCTCCTCCTCCTCCTCCTCCTCCTCCTCCTCCTCCTCCTCCTCCTCCTCCTCCTCCTCCTCCTCCTCCCTCTGAGTCTGGGTCCTGCTCCCTCTGCCATTCCTCGTCTCTGACCTGTTTTTTGTCTAAAGCAGTTTAGAACATCATCCGATCCTATCCTTCCATATCCCCTTCGATCGAGTGCGAGCATGCCCTGTCGTGTCTGCTGCCACTTACGTTCAAGCTCGGGCGAGTCCGAAGCCCACACGGTGCTCACAGTTTTCGGCTCGGACCATCTCGCCGAGCAGCGTCCAGGAGAGGAAAAGTGTCACACATTCTCCGCTGATTGTACCTTCCATATCACCGCCCACAGGCCAGGCCACGTCGTCAACGGTGTGGCGTCGGGGTTCAAGAGACGGGGGTCAATGCAAACGGGGGTCAGCCAGAGCGCCAGATCTTGCACGATCCTGCAGCCCGAGGGTCACACTGACCTTGGCTTGGGTGCAGGCTCCTGCAGAATCCTGCAGGGCCAGGGTCGCATTGACCCGGGCTTGGGTGCAGGACCTTGCAGGATCTTGGAAGGCCCGACTGACCCGGGTCTGGATTGACCCGGGTTAGCCGATCCCCGATGACTGCGGACTCCTTTGTTGTGTGTTTGTCAAGGCGCACTGCGATTTCACGTTCTTCAGGTTGCGTCTCCTACGACGATTTGTTGGCGTGGCATCCAACACCACAATAAGCACGGGGCGGATTCGCGCAATCCCAGAGATCTTCGAAATCATTGGCAGTTACACTGTTGGCAGCGATACCTACAGAATACGTTGCATGGCATGTCTCACAGAGGTATGGCGACGGCTCTACACAGATCGCAGGTACATGTTGGCCATGCAGTCCGCTTTCCCCACCAGGACACCATCCCCAGAGCCAGAGCATGGATTGGACGCAGTTCCGACACCATCGCCGACGGTCCCATCACCGGGACATTGGCGGTACCAGTTGGGTTGACGCAGCCCATCAGACCCTTTCAGGATTCCGATGTCCCGTTTTCGGGCTCGTTTTTCGAGATGGGACGCCAGGACATGCTAAACCCACGGTGATGTTACAGATGTTGGTTTCTCGTATTTCTATTATTTCTTCCCCCTGTCGCCCTTGTCATGCTGTCGGCGGTGGTGAAAAGGCTGGCCTCCACCCGGTGCGTTTCGAATTCCCTCGTCGAACGCAGTGTGCAGCTGGCATCGCCGCAGCAAAGGCTTTCCTGCAGCGTCCCTTATCCCCTGAACTCCCGAGGCTACCTGAGCATTGATTTCAAGACGTGGTTGACTTGCCCTGGTCTTTACTATTGGTTCCCACTGCGCTATCGACATTGTCCCATTTGCTACACTTCCACGGTGGTTTTCTTTTCCGTGGTGGGCAAAAAACTTGCGATCAAAAGGCAATACTTCTTTTCGGCGATTGCCAACATCCTCATCACGCCAGGTATCACGCGCATTCATTGTGCTCTCCAACAGTTTCCTGTTCCAACGCGGGCAGTAGGAGTTCGTCGGCTGCCACCGTCGGGGCGGCACTACCTTTGCAAGCATTCGAATTAAGATAGCCGCACCCCGGCACCCCCACAGTGGGCGAGAGCAGCGCCCCGCACCTTCAATGCGCATGGCGCAGTTGAGTTAACTGCAAGCGTCTACGCTCCATTTAATTCAGTTCGCACGCATGTTGGAAAACATCAAGCGGACAAGGGCCTCTGTCATCGCGGGCCGTCACTCAGAGCATCTGAAGCGCAGTTCCTGCTCTGCACACACCCCGACCTCGTCCGCGACCCACCGTTACGAGGCGCCGATGATTCGGCGTTTCCAATTTGTGCGTTTCCAAGCAGATACTTCATTGCACCAGCGCGTCGTTCCTCGACAAAGGTTACGGCGATAGCTGATCTCCCACCTGGCGCCCCATGTGACGCGGCTCCTTCCTGCGCTCTCCACGCGGCACAACAGCGCCGGCATTTCGCCGGCACAGGGGAAGTTGGACCTCTATGGGTGTGGGAACGTTGTCGCATATTCTTATCACGGCTCGCTCGCCCACGCACCCCCCCCCCCGCGCGCCGCGGCGACCCGCGCAACAACTAGCATCTTTCCCGGCACGGTCTGCGGCATTGCCCCCCGCCCCACTTCAGTCGCACAATCGCGCTTCTCACGCGCGCAAGATCGTCGGCACCGTTCAGAGGCGCCTACGGCTGCCATGCATGCGCACTCTTGTATCGCGGCAAACATCCTCGCCGGTTTCTTTCTGTGGCCGGGGGCTTGGGGTTTTCGAGAAAGCTGGCAGGCTCTCGGAGCCAGAGTCGCAGCGGCCTCAGGTTCTCTGTTGGACGCCAGCCGACGTGGAAGGGCCAGACCGATACCCCATCTCTTTGCGACACGCACAAGGTGAAGACCGCGCCTCGACCGACGAGCTGCCCATGCCAACCCCCGCCCCATGGACTTCGATGTCCACCGGGGCTCTGGCGCCATCCACGTTGGTCTGTACCCGGGCTCTTGGCGGCTAGACGCGCATCGATCGTCAACGACTAGTCTGCACGAACGACATGGGCACGGAAAGAATGGGCACAATGCCCAACAGCGGATCCTGTTCATTTCGAATTTTGAACAGGACTCGCTGTCCACGCCGCCGCGGCCTGTGTAAATTTGAGACAGAAGGCCGCCTCCCCAACAGCGGCCGCTCCTCCCATTGTTCCCGCGCCCATTTCGGGCGGTGGAGACGTTCACGAGGTAGGGGAGGAGGAGGTGGGAGGAGGAGGAGGAGGAGGAGGAGGAGGAGGAAGAGGAGGAGAGGAGCAGGAGGATGGAGAGGGAGGAAGGAGGAGGGAGAGAGGAGGAGGGGGGAGGTAGGATGAGGAGGAAAGGAGAGGAGGAGGAGGAGAGGAGGAGGATGAGGAGGGAGGAGGAGGAGGAAAGAGGAGGAGGAGGGCATTGTACCCATTCTTCCCGCGCCCATTTCGGGCGCCCAACACCGGGGCCGACGCGCCGGGCTGCGCCAAACCCGGCCACGCCAGGCCATCGCCAGGCTTCGCGGGGCCACAACGCCGGCGACGCGGTCGCCTACGACGCGCCCCAGCGCTCCTGCACTGCGCCCACTGCTTCGCCTTCCCCGTCGCGGGCCGCGTCGGCCCCGCGCGTCGAGCCCCCGAGGCCAGAGCAGGGCGCTCGCCCCGCGGAGCCGCTGCCAGGCGGGCCCCCGCCCGCGCGGGGCGAGCTGGAGCGGGCCCTGTCCCCTGCGACGCGCGAGTCGGACGAGTGCGTCGTCATCGGCGACGACGAAAATTCGGGGGTAGATAGACCTCCTACCCTGACACGTCGATGAAGGGATTGGCCGTTTTCGGTTCGCTGGAGGGCCTCGCGGCCGTCATTTTTGCGGGTCCAGGTCCGTCGGTCTCGGTCTTGGGCCGTTTTCATTGAGGGGAGGTCTACTAAAGGGAGGTTTGTCCACCGCCGGAACATACGGGCCGCGCCGGGTCTGCGAACGGCCGAGACATGGCTCGATGCCTCCAGCAGGGAAGCATCGGCTAAGCTCGTGGGAAGAAGGCGTTGGCGCATGGGCGCGGGCGAGAGCAGCGTCGGCTCTTCCTGCTTGGCTCCGCGGCCCTTCCCAGCCCCCGCATCCACCGGCACCCCCCCGCCCTCCCATTGCCCCCCCCCCACTTGTCATGTCGAAGTGCATTTCGACTGCAGGCGACAGGCCATGCAAGAAGGTGCCCCACACCTGTTGCAGGAGAGTGATCGACACGTCGGGCTCTCCTGGTACGCGTGGGCCTCTGATTCTTCGACGAGCAGCTCGGAGTTCCTTGAAGCGGTCGGAGGCAGGCTGCGAGCGTTTTGGAAAACCAGGCTAGCACAAGACGGTTTCCGATCCCTTCGCGTGGTCCTCCGAGTGGCGGTGCACCATTCGCTGGTCTGCATAGTTAATCGGCGCACCGAATTTCACGGGCTCGCTTCATGAGGCTTTTAGTAATTATTGCTTCCTGCTGGCCACTTACTCCCCCTCGAGATGTTCATCCTCGGCCGCCCGCCACCCCCTCTACGTGCACTTATTCGTCGGCGCCCGTGGAGCCTGGAGGTCTAAGAAACCCGATCGCGTTTCAGATCGCGGCTCCGATTGCTGAAACCATCTACCTCACTCCAGACGACGGTGCCCTGGCGCGGGGGCAGCAGCCACGGCCAAGGTGGAGAGGGCCATGGCGGGGGCAAATGGATCTCCCAGGGACAGTCGCGATGGGCGCAGCGACCGCCGCGGCCAGGACAACCGCGACGACCGCCGCGGCCGGGGCTGCCGTCGGGGAAGTGGTCGCGAAGATCGAGAGGATCGTCGCGACCGACGCCGGCCTCGCGGCCCGACCTCGGACTCGCGCGACGAGCCACGGACTCGCGCGACGAGTCAGCGAGGTCGAGAGACGCCGCGCGCCCCAGACGCTTCCCCAGGCGCACTCGGAGGCCACGAAGTCCAGCTTCGAGGAGCACATGGCGAAGATCTGCGGCCTGGGCTTCGGGCCGCAATCGGCGGGGGCCCCTCCGAGCACCGCTCCAGGCGGCGCTTATCCAGGCGCGCCGGCCCCAGGCGGAGCCAATCCAGCGACGCCCCCGCCACCGCCGCCGCGCGCAGCGCCCGGCACTCCGCCAGCGGTGGCGAAGGCCTGGCATCAGAGCCTGGCAGGCACAGCGGTCACCCCAACGGACCTGTCCAAGGAGAGCATCGCCAACTTCCTGGCCGGATGCACTTCCAGGGACAGCGTGACGAAGGAGCGGATCAGGTTGAGGACTGCGTCGGTCGACGCGGGGACAACAAGGCCAAGGAATTTCACGCAGCGCACGAGCCGCGCAGCTGACGTTCTATTCGGGCCAGAGTGACACCAGGCCAATATCCAAATGGAGCTTCGAGTGGAGAGGCCTCCAGCCGCGGGGCCTCAGAAATGTACATGGAGGAGTTGCATCAAGGATTGGTTCAGTTTCATGGCGTTGTGCTCTCCTACGTGGCCCCCTTCGTCTGCCTCGCCTTCGACATCTTCCCAAACTCGTTGCAGTGGTCAGTACCAGTACTTAGATGGCAGTTGGGCGCACAAGAATTTCGAGCATTTGGAGGTATCCCGCCCTGCTACTATGGGTCAGCTTCCCCCCCTCTGTTTTCGAGGTCCGCAGTGCTTGGCGTGAGAATCACTAGAGTAATGTGTGCATTATGTGGTCTGGTCATCTGCATTCTATGCTACGAGACTTGGATGTCGTCGACGGTGTTGCAGGTTGGTGGCGAAGGGGGCTCGGATCCAGACTTTAGCTACACGAAGTTCACGGTTACGAGTCCATCTTTTTCGACAGGCTCAGCAACGGCGGATGCATATCAGTCCTCCTCCGCTGTTCTCTCGGACATCGCACAGGCATGGTGGACCCTACGTGTATCTCGCCGTTCGGAGGCGAAGTACGTGCAAATGATCGCCGATACCATCGGTTCCCCCACCAAGGTCTACAGCCTGGAGGATGAGGCAGCCCCCATTGCCTCTGCTAGCCGCGCTGCTGCCACCGTGCTGTCGTGAGCGAGCCGAACCGACGAGGCTGGAGCCGGAGTGGGGTGAGGTGGCCCGTGTTGTGATGTGTGGTGAAGGTGTTGTCCTCCCACCCTGAATATAGGTCCTCCTCCCTTTCCCCTCTCTCCTCTCTGACATGCTTTCTCTCAAAGCGATTGGAAAGTCATCGTGTCCTATCCTATCCTTCCAGATCCCCTCGAGCGAGTGCGGGCATGCCCTGTCGTGTCTGCTTCCTCTCGCGTCCAAGCTCGCGCGAGTCGGAAGCCCACACGGTGCTCGCAGCTCTCGGCTCGGACCGTCTCGCCGAACAGCGCCCAGGAAAGGAACAGTGTCACACACACACACACACACACACACACACACACACGCACACGCACACGCACACACACACACACACCCTCCGTTGATTGTACCCTCCTCCTCCTCGTCTTCATCCTCCCCATCATCAGCATCAGCATCATCAGAATCATCATGTTTTCCTCCTCCTCCTTCCCCTCATCATCACGATCAGCATGATCATCATCATCGTCATCATCATCTTCATCATCGTCATCATCATCATAATGTTCCTCCTCTTCCTCCTCTTCCTCCTCCTCCTCCTCCTCCTCCTCCTCCTCCTCCTCCTCCTCCTCCCTCGTCTGCCTTCCTTCGCCCTCCGTCGTCTCCCCTGCCCTCCCCCTCGGGAGGCGCTCGTCTGGGTCTCGGTGTACCTGCTGTTCGTCGCAGCGGCTGCTCGGGGAGAGGGAGCTGCAGCGTATGTGGCCTGCTGCTGCGGAGGAGGGGGAGGAGGAGGAGGGGGAGGAGGAGGAGGAGGAGGAGGAGGAGGAGGAAGAGGAGGAGGAGGAGGAGGAAGAGGAGGAGGAGCAGCATGAGGTGGAGTCGGGAGGATTTGGGGTCAGCGCGAGAAGAACAGAATCGGAAGGTGAATGAGCATGGCCAGGTGGAGGAACAGTGATAATGATATGCGCAGGGCGAGGAGGACGAAGGAGGAGTAGCAGGAGACGGAATAATGTTAGACATAAGGTTGGTCGGGGGCAGGAATAGAACGAAAATGTTGGGGACCGGGATGGTGGTAATGAGCCGGAGGAGAGTATGGAATGAGGAGGACGAAGAGGAGGAGAAGGATCGTCGTTTGTCGTCCTTGCTGCCGCGTGTTGCGCTGTTTCATGTCAACCATGCCTCTCTGACCGAGGTTGCGATGCGCAGGGGCGCGATGGCAGATGACGCGGCACGAGGGTGGCAGGCCATTGCTGTTCATTGCAACGCATCCGATACATCCCATCGCCGCGGGTGGCGAGCACCCACTGCATGCACGTTTTTGATCGTTTGGATGCCGGGGATTGTTCGCAGGGTACTCAGGTAATTCGCAACAGTTGGACACGATCGGAGCGGGGACGGAAAGAATGGGGACGAAGCCCGACAGCTTTTGTTGCCCGTGTTGGACAGGATGCGTTGTCGTTGTCGCCGCGGGCGTGGTCCATCTGGGACAAACACGTCGAGTGCCCAACAACGGCCGTTGTTGGTTTTGGGCAGCGCTTGCTATTGGACGTGGTGCCCATGGGTTCTCCCCGCCCCAGGCATCGGGCGTGCATAACAGTTCCCCTGCGAAAGCGCGGCCCTGGGTAATCACAAGGTCGAGAGGCGTTGGGCCCACGTCTTGAGCGAGATTCACGTTGTCGAAGAATGCACCCTTTACCTACTCTAGGCCTCCCAGATGGGGTCGGAGTAGATGGGGTCGGAGGATCGCGCCGCATTGACGATGTATCGGCGATGCGGCTCGATGTGGAGCCCGATTTCCTCCACACTGACGTCGCCGATGCATCACCCGTGTCGATGATGCATCGCCGATGTATCGGCGATGCGGCACGGTCCTTCGAGCCCATCTACTCCGACCTCATCTAGGAGGCCTCTACCTACAGAGCACTCGCCTTGACAGGCAGGAGCCGCCGTCGCTCTATCGCGTGAGCCGCTCCTCTAGCCCGTCCCTGGCAATGCCTACCGCCTGATGGTTGCTCGTTGTGTACATGTGGGCATCGATTCGAACTGCATTCGATGTGTGATCCGAGCACTGCCACCTTCCTGGCCTTCCACGTTCGGGTGCCCTGGGTTCCGAGCAGCAGCTGTACCTACTTGTCTAGCACAGGATGGGCATCTGGGAGGTGTGCATCGTGGCTTGGCTGTACAGGTCTTACGGGAAAGCGCAGTACTCACGGACCACGATGCCGTCACAGGTGCGCAGGCTTATTCAAAGATGGGCGCACCGATCGAACAAACATGTCACAGCTTGGCACGTAGTTCGAAGTTCCTTCGTAAGCTTCGGAGGCATTGAAGGGCATCACGTCAGGGTTGGCATGCAGACGCGGGGCGATGCACGGATCGATAGTGTTCGTGATGTCGTTGTGCGGACTCAGTGAGGTTTAGATTTCTTGGGGGTTTTTGTTGGTATTGCATCGTGGCACATTGGCACGGTAAATGGCATGGCGCCATCGAGTTAGGTGTGTTTTAATGCGTCTTGCTACTATGGCTTATCCTAATGTGTCTGTCTCGTGCTGTCTTGCTTCCCTCCCCACGTGTCCCTCTTCCTCATTCCTCCCCACCTCCTCCCTTCTGATCGATCTATGCCATCTTGCTCCCTCCCCCCGCCCCCCACCCCGTTCCCCCCTCCCTGAACATGATCCCTCTTCCACCTCCGCCCCCTCGATCCTGCGCCTCCGCCCCTCCCCACTCCTCCGTCCCTCCCCTGCCTCCCTCCCATATCCTCTGCCTCTCCCCAGATCCCTCGTCCCTCCTCCTCTTCTCCGTTCTGCTTCCTTCCTCCGTGTTCTGCGCAGCCAGCTCTACGCGATCCTAGCATTTCCTGTGCCCGAAGAAGTTTGGAGGAGGAGGAGAAGGAGGGGGGGCCTTCTACGGACTCCGAAAACCTCTGGCGACATCAGAGGGTAGGAGGGAGTAGGGGGTAGGAGGGGGAGGGGCTATTGCACAAGCTAGGTGCGCTCGCGTCATATCTGACGTCCTACCCCTCCCTCCCATCCATTACCAAGGCGCAGATATCCTCTGTGTTCGCACAGTCGGATGTCGTAGCAGGGCATAGCATTACATGGCATAGCATGGTGTTGAGGATAAACGCGTAGCCTGACATAGCATGGCGTGGCGACGCCCCAAAGCGGGGGGGGGCTTCTGCGGCCCAAAAAATAAACGAAACGACACCGAATGTGTAGTCACGATCGCGTCCGAGGACTATTTCGGGGGGGCATGTTCTAGATGTTGGGGCTTATTTGGCAGGACCGAAAACCATGCCGTGGCATGGCGCTGGAAATAATGACGCCAGCGCTGCAGCGGGAGCACGATTCGGAACGAGCGGAAGCGCGGAAATGATTCGGAACGAGCGGAAGCGCGGAAATGAGGCCAGCGCTGCAGCGGGAGCACGATTCAGAGGATGCGTAGCCTAACATGGCATGGCGTGGCGACGCTCCAAAGAAGGGGGGGCCTTCTGCGAGCCAAAAAGTTAACGAATCGACACCGAATGTGGAATCACTTCTGATGTTTTTTTTTCGGGTGGCCATCTTCTAGATTTTGAGGCCTATTTGGAAGGACCAAAAACCATGCCGTGGCATGGCGCTGGAAACAATGACGCCAGCGTTGCAGCGGGAGCACGATTCGGAACGAGCGGAAGCGCGGAAACGAGGCCAGCGTTGCAGCGGGAACACGATTCGGAACGAGCGGTAGCCCGAAAATGAGGCCAGCGCTTCAGCGAGAGCAGCATTCCCCCCCCCCGAAAAAAGAAAGATTTCGAGGGAATCCTGTGTGGAAAAACCAGTACACGGAGAGGGGCCGAATATTTTCCGGACGTCACCAGGGGAGAGAGGAAAGTAGTATTCATTTTGTCTAATTGTTAAGGTTTTACTGCCAGTGACGCCGACCCTGGAGGCCTCGGCCCTCGACGGAAATGTGAGGGAGAGTGCGGGCCATGGGCCCCGGGAGGGCGGTATTCTGACCCAGGACCACCCCCCAGGACCCCCCACGGGCCCCCCCCCACGGAGAAGGGATCAAAGGGAAGGGGCCTCCCTTCGACTCAATGACAACGTTGCTTAAGTTCGCTGTGGATGGGCGGGTGCATTTCTCTTTGGCTGGCGTGCTTAAGGACGAGGGCCCAAGGAAAGGGGGGGAGCGGCGACGGACTCGGGGGAAGGAGGGGGACGCGATGGTGGCGGCGACGCGACGTCGGCAGCCACAGCGATGGCGACGGAACAGCCGCCCCTGTCACGCGCCGACAGGGGCCGGCGGAGAGTTGGGAAGGGCAGGGAGGCAGGAAGGGGAGGGGAAGGGGGCAGGAGAAGGCATAAAACAGGGCTAGGATCCGGATAAATCGCTCCAGAGCGTTCCGGAGCGCTCTCAGAGCGTTCCGGAACGCTCTGGAGCGGCCGCGGCGCCCAATACATCCTCCAAACCCGCCGACTCTCAGAGATTTCGAGTTATCCCGACCCGATCCGAGTTCTGTCGTTTTAAGGCAGGAGAGGGGGGGGAGGGAGGGGGCACCCGCCGCCGGCCGCCTCTCCCTGCGGGCGCGGGGGGGGGGGGGCCACGCCGTGGGCGAGGGGAGGGCGGAGGGCGTCGACGATCGGCGACGGGCGAGAGGACGGGCGGAGGGAGTCGAGGCGCGCGGGCGGCGGAGGGGGGCGCTGGACGACGGGGGCCAGGAGGAAAAATCAGGAAAAAAAAAAAAAAAAAAAAAAAAATGAATCGCCGGTCCCCAAGAAAATACAGGAAAATATGGGAAGTGGGGGGGTGGGGAGACAAAAGCCCAGAAAATATACGAAAATACGTTTGTAAGGCAGGAGAGGGGGGGGAGGGAGGGGGCACCCGCCGCCGGCCGCCTCTCCCTGCGGGCGCGGGGGGGGGGGGGCCACGCCGTGGGCGAGGGGAGGGCGGAGGGCGTCGACGATCGGCGACGGGCGAGAGGACGGGCGGAGGGAGTCGAGGCGCGCGGGCGGCGGAGGGGGGCGCTGGACGACGGGGGCCAGGAGGAAAAATCAGGAAAAAAAAAAAAAAAAAAAAAAAAATGAATCGCCGGTCCCCAAGAAAATACAGGAAAATATGGGAAGTGGGGGGGTGGGGAGACAAAAGCCCAGAAAATATACGAAAATACGATGGATATGATTGTCATTTGTGTGCATTTGTTTGTGTGTCCCAGGGCCCCTTCAGGGGGGGTGGGCGGGGCCGAGCGACGGCGTGGTCTGCGCGGGGTGCCAGCGCGCCTCATGTTTCTGCGTGCGGCCTCCCGGGCACCTGGGAAAAAGATGGGTCCCGTGCGAGGGGGATTGCCGCTCGGGGGAGGGGGGACCGAGCCTCTTGAAGCCGCGCGCTGAACACACGCACACACACACACACACACACTATTTTGCTTCGGCGGCTAGGCAGAGCGACTGCGCTGGCGGAAAAGGCAAACATTTTGGACGAACAGTTGCGAATTAAGCCGCGATGCACACACACACACACACACACACACACACACACGCACACACACGCACACACACACACACACACACACACGCACACACATCGTCGGATGTCGGGTCAGGCGCCCAGGGCCCATGTCGATTCGATCAATCCGCCCGGAAGGAGTTTGTGTGTCGCCGCTCTCGAGCCCCAGGGGGCCCTCCGTGGCCGCAGGACCGTCGAAAACCGGATGCAGCGTTGGTCCTGAGGAAAGCCCCGAGGCCTATGGATCCTATAGTGAAACACAGGGGGGGGCTATCGGGCACTATCACTATCGGCATTCCTATGGAACCTATTGGGCCTCCTAACCAATCCTAACTCATCCAAACCTCTCCTAAAATAGAACCGCTTACCTAACCTATAACTACTTATAACTCCGCACCCATCTAAGCGAGGCCTAGGGGCACATGTCCCTTGGGGCCCGTGTCCCTTCTCAGCCCTTGAGGGTCGGAGGATCCCGCCGAGTCGCCGAGGCATCGGCGATGCGGCTCCATGTGGAGAGCCCGACCTCCACGCCGACGGTGCCGAGGCATCGGCGATGCAGTGACGATGCACTGGCGATGCGGCGAGATCCTCCGACCTCCTCCTCCTCCTCCTTCTCCTCCTCCTCCTCCTCCTCCCTCCTCCTCCTCCTCCTCCTCCTCCTCCTCCTCCTCCCTCCTCCTCCTCCTCCTCCTCCTCCTCCTCCTCCTCCAGTGCTCGGCTCCCACGTGGGAGGCTTCCAGGTGCGGCCCCGTGCACAGCGCATCTGTCTACGCGGGCGCGGCCGCTTCGATTCGATCCCAGGTCCGTGCCGACGCGGCCCCATCCGACGACTTGGCATCGCTCGGACGTGTGCATTTTTTCTCGGCGGGGACCATCGAGGAGCATCCTTGATCATTTGGCGAGAAAACCACGCACGAAACCGAAAAAAAACACAGGGAATGGACGTCCGAGCGATGGCCAGTCCCAGGTCCGTGCCGACGCGGCCCCATCCGACGACGAGTTCCGCCCCGATCCGATCTCCCGGGCCGATGCTTTTCGATCTTGCCTTTGCTCAGAGCGACGCCTTCGCCTACCCGTTGTTCGCCGTGCGGCCCAATCCGACGACGAGCTCCGCCCCGATCCGACTTCCCGGGTCGATGTTGTTCGATCTTGCCTCTGCTCAGGGCGACGCCTTCGCCTACCCGCTGTTCGCCGTGCGGGGCATCGGCCAGGACCTGTCGAGAGGGTCACCGGGGCGGGTCGGCGCTTCCCAGACTCAGGAGGGAGAAAAAAACACAGACACAATTAATCGTCGACTCCCAGGAAAATATGCAAAAATATGGGAAGTGGGGGGGAAGACAGAAACCCCGAAAATATCGGAAAATATGGGGAATACTTTTATTTGTGTGTATTTATTTGTGTGTCCTGGGGCCCCTTTACAGACGAGCGCCCTTGCAGATGGGGAAGAACATGAATTTCCAGAAGCATTGATATGCGAAGCTCCTCTCGGGTTTCTTGGATCCGCGCTGGACCTCCCCAGCGGCACCTCGGGCGCCGCCCCCTGCCTGGCGCTCTCCGTGCGCCCAGGAAGGGTGTGCAGCGCCGATCCAGGAAATACGTGCGGTTCTGCAAAAAGTGTATGTTCATGCAGGTGTTCATTGGTCTTGGTAGGCGTAGGATGAGGATAAGCCGTTCTTGTGCGCTTCTGAACGCTATCGGAGCGTTCCGAAACGCTTTGGAACGGCCGTGGCGTTCGCTACGTCCTCCAATCAGGAGGGAAAAAACACACAGACACATTTAATCGTCGATTATCCAGAAGATATAAGAAAATATTGGAAAATATGGGAAGTGGGGGGGAAGACGATAACCCCAAACATATGGGGAAATACAAGGAATATGTTTAGTTATGTGTATTTATTTGTGTGTCCTGGGGCCCCTTTATCCAAACCCGCCGGTCGCCTTGGCTCAAGGTGTGCCCTCTTTGGCGGGCGCCACCCTTCAGCCACGCGCGGAGGGTCACCGCCCACCAAACCACCCCGACCCAACCCGAAGGCCCCGATCTGCCCTCCATTTCCAGTGGGGGGCGGCGAGCGGGAAACAATGAAAAACACACACAAACAAACAAGAAATGTTCGTACCCCTCCCAGCCCGAAATTCGGGTCTTCGGGTTGGGTCTAGGGGTTAGGGCGGTCTGGTGGGAAGTCGGAGGGGGGGGTAGGGGTAGGGGGAGGGGAGGACGCTTCTCAGAAGCGGCCTCCTTCTGAGAAGCCTTCCCCCCCCTCCACCCGCCCCCCTGCGCGCGCCGCCGAGACATCCTGCATCGATACAAAGGGCTCCCGTCTGCGGAGCGCCCGACAGGTCGGCGCCGAGAGCGGGGGGTGGCGTCCTTTCTTAGGGGGCTGTGCGCTCGGGAAAGGGGCTTCTGCGGGTTCGCGGGATTCGGTTCGTCTCCCTTTCGGGCCCCTCGTGCGTTTTGCTGGATTCGGCTCGCGCGCAGGCGCCCTGTTCGGCTGTGGTCAGCGGTGCTAGCTGCAACACGTCTCACCTAACATCCCGAGTTCCCTTCGGGCGTGTCCGCGGCACCTTCGCGACAGCTCACGCCGCGCCACTCGTGTCCTGGCACTTCGCCACTCCTTTTGAACAATCACCCGTCGGTCCGAGGCGGCTGGTCAGCGGTCCTGGCTGCACCACATCTCACTTCATCCAGTATTCCTTCGTCTTCCCCTTTCTGCTGATTTCTTTATCCATTCTCACTTTTTCCGTCCATCCTGTTTCCCTTCACTCCCCCCTCCCCCGCTGGGGCTTCAATGAGGGGCACAACATGCAATAGACCTAGAGGCGGCCATCTCTGCCAGACTCTGACAGACACGGCGAGCGACAGTCGGTCTCTTCCGCGCTGCGTCCTCGCCCTTCTTCTATCCTCACACGCACACACACATGGCTGCCTCTCCTTGCCCCTTGCTGCCCCCTCCCATTCAGGAGACGAGGATGAGGAGGTGGAGGAGAACGGCGAGGGCGAGGCCTGCGAGCCTTGTCGGAAAATGAGCTCTGTGTCATCCGCGCTCGTGGCAGGCAATACTGGTGGCAAGCGTCCTGGTGGCAAGCATCCTGGTGGCACCCGCAACTGAGGGTTCCATCCTCCACACCTCGCCAGCGTGTCATGATTCCCGTCGGAAGAGAAAGGGGCACGGCACGTATAGTGCCTTGAAGACAATCGCGCTTCGGATCCCATCCTTGCCCCTCCCTCTCCTTTTCCCCCTGCATACACTGCCGCCCTTCCTTCCTCCCTTCCCCCCTCCCATAAACCTCTGCCGCATAATTCCTCGCAGCTCTGGCTCAAGCAACACGGGCCGACGATGGACGCTCTCTTAGCGGAGGTCCGAGACGGAAATTCCGCTCTACAGGAATGGGAGGGCGTACCTGGCCTTCACCTGCGCTTCGATTTCCTGTCCGCGAATGGCGCGGACCCCGCCCTGCTGCATTCCTGGCGGCACGGGCACTCTCTCGGGGCGTCGCCTGTCGTCCCGAGGCAGGTGCGCAACCATCCTTCCGTCACGCCCCAGCTCGCGTGGGCCGAACGCGAATGGGACCGCCTGGCTGAGTCGGGGAAAGTTTCCTTCTTCCCGGCTGATGCCCCTCTGCCCAAACACCTCAACGTCAACCCGTGCGGCTTAATCCTGAAGCCGCGCCCCGGGGCGGACGCCGAGGCCGACGAATCTGAGCGCTTCAAAGCGCGTTTAATCGTCGATTTGCGGCGGGGGGGCGTCAACGAGTGCATGCCAAACGCCGACGTCGCGTACGGCACGCTGGATCAGGCTGTGGCCCGCATGTCCGCGGGTTCCTGGTTGTTCGTCCTCGACCTGCGCGATTGTTTTTTTAATTGGCGTGTTTCCGACGCCGACTCGTACGCCCTCGGCTTCTATTCCCCTGGTAGACGCCAGTTCGGGAAATACAATTATTTACCATTCGGCCTCAGGCCCGCGCCTGGCATCAACGACGCCAATGTGAAGGAGATTTTAAGAATCCCCCGCTTACGTACCGAAGTTGACCTTTTAGACTTCGTTGACGACTTGTTAGGCGCGGCGCCGGATGAACCCACGGCTTGGCAAAACCTGTGTCGAGCTGTCCGCTTCCTGTTGCGGCGCGGCATCCCAATCAGTGCCAAACCCAGCGGCATCCGAGCACCTGCACGCCGACAAACCTGGATCGGCTGGGTGTTCGATACCGTCGAATGCATTATCACCGTGCCGCCTGAAAAGACTGACCGCTGTCGCGAATTGTGCGCTGCCGTTCTCGAGGCAGACCAACACCGCACGCTCCGCAGCAAACAGTTAGCATCGGCTGTAGGTTTGGCTTCGCACATCGCGGAGCTCCTTCCGCAGTTGCGGCGCCGGCTGCACCCTCTTTGGGCAGATTTTAATGCGTCGGGGGTGTATTCGGCGTGGCGTGCCAGCCCCTTGGCCGACCCCCCGGTGACTCTCTCCGATCTCAGTCGCGCGGCCCTGGCGCACATCTGCTCGGCCTTATGTACGCCCCCGGTGCGTTCCTTGCATTGTGACGGCGGCCCTCTCAGCATGTGGGGCCACAAATCTCTCGAATTCGCTGATTGGGCGAACCTTGCCCGCAAAGGCGCAATCCGGGTCGTGGAGTGCGACGCCTCCAAAATGCACGGGTGGTCATACCATCTGTGTTGGGACAGCCGCGTTGTCGCCGATACGTGGCCTGACAACTTCGAATCCCGGGAGGCGCAGCCCAATTCCTTGGAAATCAATTACAAGGAGTTGTGGGTTGCAGTTCAGTGCCTTCTCAGGGAGTCCTCTTGCTTAAAGGGTTGGCGAGTTTTGTTCAGGCTCGACAATTCCGCTGCCGTGCATTACGTTAATGTGCGCTACGGGCGGATACCTTCCCTCGAGTCTTTGGCGCATCGTTTTGAAAGCGCCGAGCGGGCAGCTCAATGTTGGGCTCTAACGTTGCACATCCCTGGCAAGAGCAACGTCATTGCAGACGCGGGATCCCGGTCACTGGACTTCGCGCGTTCCTGGCGCGAGGATCAGTACAGGGACGCCGCACTTCGCAAGACCTTGTTTCAAGAGGTCGAATCCAGATGCGGCGTTCAGTTCACGCTGGACTTGTTCGCAGATCGACTCGGCATGACGGCTCTCACCCACGAGTGGCGTTTTCCAGAACTTTCCGCTTTCGAGGCCGAGCTGCGCGGCCACGCGGTGTGGGCACACCCACCGCGCGCGCTGCTCAAGGAGACTTTTCAATTTTTGAATGCCGCCATTGCTGTCAACGCAGACCTGCGCGTTGTCATCCTGTGCCCTGACGACCCGGGAGCCCCATGGTTCCGTCCGTCGTTGTTATCCAAGTGGCACAGAATCAGATCGTGGCCCGCCGGGTCCGACCTTTTCCGATGGCCGTCCGATCGCGGCTTGTCGAAAGGCCCAGCGTCGGATCTTCCATACATCGTGCTTCAAAGCTGGCTTCCGAACCGCCGGAAGCGCAAGCGCTGACAGAGCTACCTGTGGTCTTTCGCACCTACAAAAATACACATTGCATTGCACATGCTTCCCCAATCCCTCCACCCCCCCAATATGGCCCCCCGCTCCTGTCCGCTATTGGGGTGCATTGCTGGGATTCTATGACTGTCGATGGCTGGAACATCCCACATTTTCGATTTCTCGTTTCTTCACATGTCCCCCCCTTGCTCCCCAGACCGCCCATGCTTCGCGGATGCTCAGGGACGTTCTTATTTGCCGCATTTCGGTTCAGCTGGTCCATCAGCGGATCTGCCGATTGAACACCACCACTGTCGCGGGGATGGGGTCTCCAGTCAGCGAGGACCGCGTCAAGGCCCTCATTGACGAGGCGATTGCGGCAGCTTGCGCCCCGTCAGGTCCCATCCACGCAGCGGTGCTCGCCAGCATCACCAAGGAGGTCGCCGCCGACGGAACCATCGGCGTCGCTGCGAGCAGCGCCGTCACGGAGGGCCTCTTGAGGGCAACCCGGATCCCGGAGTTCCAGGCCCAGGCAGACGCGGAGTTTCCGTTCCGCAAAGTGTTGCGCGACCTTGGCCCCGACCAGGTCAGGCGGGCGTGGTTTGCGATCATGGTGGACACCGACCAGTTAGAGGAGTCTGTCGTTGAGTCCCTCGCTGACCCGAAAGATCCCATGGCCACCATTTACGCTTTGCATGCCGCACACCCAGCTAATTCGGAGTTGTCCGCGCTGAAGAGC